CTTAGAACTTACCATTTTATTTTTCACTAATACTGATTGAAGAAAGTTGCCAGGTTTGGAGTAGAACTAAAAAAGGAATTCAGCTATTAATCATTGTTAATCCCTTGCTGTTAGCTCTTATCAGTTGCATTTATTATATTATGCTTTTTCTGTGGTCACAGGTCCATCACTGGACAAATTTTCTTTAACTTTTGAGGCATAATAATATTAGAAATACTACATATGCAACAGTGACTACTAGGAAAGTGATGTACAGGAGGTCATACCTTGTTTTGTAATTATCAGTTACAGTAGAAACCCGAGCAAAGGGAGATTAGAAGTAGAACCTAGACAGAGTAGTCCAGGAAGTATCTGCAGAAGCCTGCCTACACTGTTAGGAAGGTGTGTGCTACAGAAACTAGGCTGGCACGCGGCGGCGGTCAGGTGCAGGCCTCAGTGCCTCTCAGGTGATAGATGCCTCAGTATATTTGCACGACTACATAGGGATGGGACTGTGGGGGCTTCGATGGATAATTGAATATGTGTAATCACAGCAAGAAGAAGTGGAACGATAAAAAACAGGAAAGCAGGTCTCGGAAAATGGGGCAAAAGAATAGTCAGATGCAGGAATCAGGAAAGTGCTTGAACATAATGAGGGGTAAGCCAAAGGGGGCAGGATACCAGAGCTAAAATAAAAGCCTAAGAGGAGCTGGTAACTAGGTAGGTAAACTTTGGGTATTTACTTGGTGCAGTGATAGGTTTCTAAACATTTTCAGGGATGTTATTTCATGCGGTCTTCACAATAAACCTAACCGTGGATATAGCAAATGATTGTTCCTCTTCTTCACTCTTAAGAAAATAAAAATTGGGAGGTTACTCACTTTTTTCAAGGTTACACTGCTCTGAGTAGCTTTGCTAATAACCAGCTATGTTACTCAACATGTTACTTCTTTTGTCTTAATTTCCCCATTTATAAGATTATAATCATAACTGTACCTAACTCATAAGGTAAGAAATAATGCTTATAAAACACTTAACATGGTGCTTGGCACATGGTAAATACCAATGAGTGCTAGGCATTGCTGTTTTTTCTATGAGAGCTACAATTTGAATAACTTAACGTTCAGCAAATTTTATTTTCTACTATACTATATTGCATCTTTTAGAATGTAAGTGGGATGGTTATGCATGTCTGTTTCCACATGTGTATATTTCCAAAATGATTTTAACCCATATTAAGTTTGTCTTTACTCAAAATATTTGCCAAGTGTTGGGAGGTTCTATAACTATTGTGATATTTCTTTTTGGCTTTGACCCGAAATTACATTTTACTTTCTGTGCAATAAATTTACTTTCAGATTTTTCTACTATTTATTGAAGAAGGTAGAAAATATTTCATAAAATAGCCGTGACAACTAGAATGTGTCATATTCTTTATGTATTTCATATACGTTTTGGGTTTTATTTATGTTGTTACCTGTAGTGACAGAGCTGCTGCAGATATGTGCATTTCTGTAAATGTGCCTTCATCAGATATGCAGTCACATGTAATATAATAAATTTATTTTTCTCTGGTCTTTGTGTACTTAGTTTTCTCATCCAGAAAATGTAATTAAAAAAAAAAAATCACCTGTGACTGCAAGGGGTCATTCCAGCTATTTTGGCTATAGTGCAGAAATTGGATTCTCCCCTCAGACTCATAATACAGTATATCCTGGACATTTCCTGCATCTGTCCCTCTCTGATTTGTTCAAGTTTACATAAATTATTATAAGGTCTTAAACAACTTTGTTTTGTGGTAAAATAGCAGATTATCATTCTTATTCAAACTGATATTGCTTAAACATTCAAACCATCAAGCAGAAAGTGTTTTGCATATTCCCAGGATATAAAGCTTCTTTCGAACCAAAATGCAAAGCGGATGCACATTTCCAAAGCAAGTCGGATTTTGGGTCAATGTCTTACACTTAATTGGAACTTCTTTTTGCTGTGTTAACTCTCACTTTGGAGGATGTAATCTCTAAATTTAACTTTTTAACCTAGTGGTTTGGTTTTTTTCAGACCTCTGAGTCAGATCCCTGTGGTAACTCCTAGTTGTACACCCTGGCACCTCAGCATTTTGGTCTGGAGAGGTCAAAAGTGATTCAGATTTGTTGGCCTTTTTCAGTATTGCCTTGAATACATTTTTCTTGGTATCGCTTACAGTTTTTGCCAATATAGAATTCTGGTGTTGCCCCTGCCTCTTCACAAGGCAAAGCTACATGTGGCTTTTCTAGCTCCTTTTCTTAGGCTTATTGAAATTTCTTCAACCCAGGTAGGAGGAGAAGAAAATTGGCCGGTGTTTAAAGTATGTGGGTATTAGTGAGTAAGTGTGTGCGTCTTAGGGTGTAAGAGGAAAGTATGGGCTTCAGAGTCAGTTTTAAGTTCAGATTATGGGGCCAGCCCTTCCTCACCATGTGACCTTTGGATATATTTAACTTTCTCACTATCATCTTCATCATCTATAAAGAGGATTACTGATACCTATCTCATAGAATTGTTCTCCTCTTAAAGAATTTCTAGCACAAAGAAGATGATCAAAAATGATATCCCTCCCTAGGGACTAGGTTTTAGTTAGTGGAAAAAATGGATTGTTTATGTAAAAATAGCACAATTCATCCTACCCAAATACAGTAAGGTATTTATTACTCTTTGAAACCAGTACACTTTAGAAAAGCTGTAAGTAGGTTGTGCCAATGGTGGTTCTATTTTACTTGGACTCCAGCGTGTTGATGTGTGGTCATGAATTTTCTATGTTGATGTAGGCAGTTAAGTTAGGTGCCAAATGGATTTTAGTGGTTTGATACTCAATTTACTCGAAGCGAAAGGACCTGAAATGGTTCTCTAGCCACTAGTTCAAGTTGAGAGCATCTCAGGCGGGTTTTTACAAGAGAGGATATAGCAGATATTTGGTTAGCTTTTATGAGAATTGCTTGCTATGATCTTTTTCCCCAGGCATTTGTATACTTTTTTTTTTTTTTCCCAATACCTCAAGGAGTAGGAAGTAGTGCCTCATGATTATCCAAGAATTCCAGTGTCAAGGGGCACAGTATCCTCATGTTATGTAACTTAACAATTTTTACTTACCTATGTGGTCTTAGATCCAGTTTGATATTTCGGTGGAATTGCTTTAGGGACATGTACTAAGTTCTGTATTTTGTTACAGGTATTTTGAATATCCACTTCCCCTAGCTAAATTAATTTAAAACATCAGGAATGTTAGAATTAATGTAATATTTCTCTTTTTTTAGTACTAATTATTTTCTTAGTAGAATACTACTATCAGAGGAAGTCTCTGCCTCAACTCTACGGTTTTCACTGCTTTGTCTTTAATTGAAGAAAGCAAATCTATCTCAGGATGGTGTCCATGCATTTGTATCTACTCACAATTGATGTGACAGTAATAAAAACAGGAATAATATTATGGTTGTACATTTAGTTTTGAGTAATCAAATTATTAATGGCTGGGCATATTGCAAAAACACCTCCTATTCCAGATCACTAAAAAAATCTCTTAGTGTTTCCTTCCCCTCTTATATTTCTGTTAAAATCTAGAAATGTCTAAATTTCTCTTTTTTAGGTTTTTATTTTAATTACAGTTAATTAACATACAGTGTTATATCAGTTTCAGGTATAAAATACAGTGATTCAACACTTCCATACATGACCCTGTGCTCATCACAAGTGCACTCCTTAATCCCTATTACCGGTTTAACCCTTCTCCCTCCTTCAGTTCTCTATAATTAAGAGTCTGTTTCTTGATTTGTCTATTTTTTTCCTTGTTTTGTTTCTTAAATTCCACATATAAGTGAAATCATATGATGTTTGTCTTTCCCTGACTTATTTTGCTTAGCATTATACTCTAGTTCCACCCATATCATTGCAAATGGCAAGATTTCATTCTTTTTTATGGCCAAATAATATTCCATTGTATATTGTATATGGCCAATAATATTCCCTTGTGTTTGCGTGTGTGTGTATATATCTTCTTTATCCATTCATCCGTCGATGGACATTTGGGCTGCTTCCATATCTTGGCTATTGTAAATAATGTTGCTGTAAACATAGGGGTGCATGTATCCCTTTGAATTAGTGTTCTTGTATTCTTTGGGTAAATATCCAGTAGTACAATTACTGGATCATTTGGTAGTTCTATTTTTAATTTTTTGAAGAACCTCCACACTGTGTTCCACAGCGGCTGCACCAGTTTGCATTCCCATCATCAGTGTATGAGGGTTCCTTTTTCTCCACATCCTCACCAACATTTGTGGTTTCTTGTGTTGTTGATTTTAGCCATTCCCACAGGTATGAGGTGATATCTCATTATAGTTTTGATTTGCAAGAAATGTCTAAATTTTCATTTGAATTAAGCAAATAGGTAAGTAAACCTTGAATCAAAATTTTAGGCAGTATTGAATTCATATTTTAATATTTTATAAAGAACAATGACTTTTTATTGTCTGCTATGTGAAAGTGATTATGGATCTTTTTAGACCAAAGTACCAAGATTGTATCTGGCAGAGTTTATGTAGGAAAATATTTCAATTTAAAATGCTACACATAAGCAAGCTAGATGTACTTACTTTCTGTTTGGTACATCCATGTCCTTAAAGCTCTCGGAAGATAATGGTTTAAAAAATTGTTTTAATGTCTAGATTGTAAGTAAAATCACTTGTCATAGTGAGTTGCAAAATGCAGACCTTCATTCTGAAGCTGCCTCTTTCTCATTTGGATCTGACATATTAAAAAGCATATAATTAATGGTTGACATTAGTAATTAACATTAACTTTATGGTGCTTAATATGCCATCATTCATCCATCAAATAACCAGAAATGCATAATGTCTTGGCATAAAGGTTTTAATTATATAAAACGGTCCTTCAGTTTTCCTATGATATAAATGTTAAAAGCCCAAAATGTATTTAAAGAAGATTTTTATAAGCATTTGTTGGGTGTTAGCTATATTTTTATTTCTTTTTAGGAGTATGCATCAACAATTGTGTCAGGAACTTCAAAAGGAGAGTGTGGACCTAATTGTGCAGTCTTCATTATCGGCTAAAGAGCGCCACCTTGCTGCAGTTGCCAATGCACTGTGGAGACATTTCTTTTCATTTTTGAAGAGTCAGAGAATGTCACAGATAGTGCCTCTCTCAGAACTTGCGGACGCAGCTGCAGGTCAGCGTTGTTAACTGGCTAATTAGCTTCTCGTGCAGATTCTGTCAATTTTTTCTTCTGTTTGCTTGATAACAAACTCTTTTATTACAGTCTAATAAATACTTGGACAACCAGAAAGATGAAAAGAATTACATATGTTAAATTAAGTTCCTTTGGCTTGTTGATTATTTTCTGCTCAGTAAAGGTAAAAATTAAGTTTTTGTTTGCTAAAAACAAAATACAACTTTCAATCTTAAAAATATTGAATATACATAAACTTTTTTTATGCACACAATATTTGGAAAGCAAAGTAGCATTTGATTTCTTCTAGTTCAAGGACTTTATGTTCACATTGTGTGTGAAGGTGTCTAGGTATAAGATGAAGCTACTTGTATGAAGAACAAAAGAACTGAGTGTGAATTCCACTTCACACCAAGCAGATGAGATCAGAATAAACATCAAATATGTAGAATGTTGTTTGACTTCTACTAGATTCTATTTTGGGTTGTAATTTTTCATGAATTTGACTCAGCCTAAGGTCATGTCCTTAGGCTTTAAGGGAATCTGAATCACATGATGTCATAGACAAGAATTTGAATATATGAGCACATATACAGTTTTCTAAGAAGAGATCATTATGTTTCTTAAAGGGATATTTTACCTAAAATATGTGCAGAAGCACTTGGATAGACAGAAATCAGTATGATAACTACATGTATTTAATTGCAATTTGTGTAAAAGTATATAATACATTTTGAGGGGCACCTGGGTGGCTCAGTTAAACATCTGTCTTTGGCTCAGGTCATGATCCCTGGGTCCTGGGATCGAGCCCCATATCGGGCTCCTTGCTCAGCGAGGAGTCTGCTTCTCTCTTTCCCCTTGCTTGTGCTCTCTTGCTCTCTCTCTCTCAAATAAATAAATTCTTAAAAAAAAAAAAGTATGTAATACATTTGAATGTAATGCTTTTTAAAACCTAAAATCTAAACCATGGTTTGTTTTACCCTGGTGTGAATGATGGAAAACTGAGCTAAAAGCACTACATAAAAGACTGGATGATATAAATTGTGAAAGATCTTGAATTCTGCTAGCATTTCCATAATTAAAACATTACAATGACAGATTGAAGAATTGTGACAGGACAACAGTTTTCCAACTACTATAATGTCTATGAAAATAAATATTGATATTCAATCAGTTTAACCAAAGCAGACATTAGAAGCCAATATGACTTATCTTTCTTCCATTCATCATCCTGACTCTCAGTCAGCGAACAAAAATGATACCACACAAGTTTAGTCACGGCTGTCCTAGGTGCTAAAAGTAAATGGTATATACATATAAAGTAAAATATGTGTGGGTTTGGGGTTTGTTTTGAAATAAAGACTTGATAGGTTAGGAGAGAAAAATTTCCTGCATTCAAAAAGTCCTCAAACACCCACTTTTATTGCCATGGTGGATATACCAGTGGGGAAAAGGACTGCAATTTATTTTCTCACATATAAGTTACATGTTCTTATGGAGCTTATAGTGCGGGGGAGAGAACAATAAGTAAGTAAGCAAGATGTGTAATATCTGGTGATAAGTGCTATGGATACATATAAAAATATATCAAAGAGGGTAGGGATAGGGAAGGCCAGAGGCAGATCGTAATTTTAAATAGTCAGAAAGGCCTCAGTAAGTACCATTTAAGCAAAAACCTGAAGGAAGTGAGAGACGAAGGCTCTGCACAAGTCCACAGGCAAGAGCATGTCTGGTGTGTTTGCCGAACCACAGGGAAGCCATGAAAGGTCATGAGGCATAAGAAAGGGAGAGAGAATAGTCAAGAGATATGATCAAAAGGTAATGGAGAGCTACCTTGTGTTCTGCCTTGTGTGTAGTTGTAAAGACTGGCTTTTACTCCGAGGTTAGAAGCTGTTGGAAGAGTTTTGAGCAGAGGAGTGAGGAGCATCCTTCTGGCTGTGAGAATGAGAACAGACAGTAAGGAGGCCAGTTAGGGAACGACTGCAACAACTCAAAAATGAGCAGCTTGGGCTAACACGATAGCTCAGGGTGGTGAGAAGTGGTCCCATTTCCAGTCTGAAGGTAGAGAAAGTATTTTGAAGATAGAGCTGACAGAATTTCCAAGTGGGTAGGATATGGTAAGCAGAATAAAGAGAGAATCCCCCATATTCCGAGATGAGGAAAATTGTGGCAGGAGCAGATTTTTATGAGGGAAGACTAGGACTTCGATATTGGACTTTTTTTTCTTTTAGATATCCAATAAAATCGAAAAAATGTTGCACAAGCACTTGGATAATGAGTGGAGGGTTCAGGGAAGAGATTAAATTAGGAAACTATGTATAAATAGTAAAGCTATGTAGTGGATGGGATTGCTGATTGAGTAAGTTGGTGAAAAGAGAAGTTTAAGGACTGGGCTCCAGGATATTCCCATGTCCAGATTTGTAGGATAAAAAGGAATGCCAGGGAAGCAAGAGGAAAACCAAGTGTGGTGCCCTGGAAATCAACTGACAGAACATTTCAAGGAAGGGGAAAGTCAACTGCTCAAATGCTGTTCATGGATCAAGTAAGATGAGGTGTGAGATTGGTCATTGGATATAGCAAGAAGGGAGGTCACTGGTAACGTTGAAAAGGAGTTTTGGTGTAGTGCTAGAAGCAAAGGCCTGATTGAAGATGAGTCAAGAGAAAATGAATTGCAGATGGGAAATGTAGATAAATCTTTTTATCACTATTTAAGAGAAGTAGAAAAGGGGGGTTATTAGCTAGAGGGAGGTGTGGGGTCAAAGAGATTTTTTTTTTAATAGCACAGGAGAAATTTCAGCATATTTATAATCCTGACAGGAATGTTCTGGAGTGAGGGAAAACTTGATGATGAAAGAGAGTCTCTTGTGTTTTAATGCCCAATAGAAATGGGATCCCATAGAGGATTTGGCCTCAGATCATCTGTAGTAGCAGAAGAGAAGGCAGAGGATATGGCCCAGGTAGAGGCGTCTGGGCAGATGTGGCAGGATCTTGCGGAAGTTCTCTGCTGATGTTTCTCATTTCTCTGTGAAGTAGTAAGTAAGGCCATCAGCGGAAAGTAAGGACGGGGAGGAGGTGCTAGCTGATGACGGAGAGAGGAAGGAAGGTATGCGGTAGTCCTCCAGGAGAATAAAAATCTGAATGGACTGGAGTAATGTGGCAGGAATGCTGGCCAACTTAAAGTTTGTAGTCATAAATCTAAAGTGAGATCAGTCAGCCGGGTTGCTCACCAGCCATTTATACTGGCGTAGGTGCGTGTGGAGAGCAGACCAAGAGTTGGAATGAAACAGATGCTTTTTACCAGAGAAGTACAACGAATCAAGTAAGAAGCAAGGGAGTTGACAGTATACACAAATGAGTGTAACAGTGGACCATGCAGTCAAGCTGCCTAAAAAGGGAAAGATGAGGCATGAAGGTAGCGAGAGACAGGGGAAAAGTTGTAGGATCAATGAATTGTATAGGTCCTGGTGAAATCAGATAGTTGTTGGAAGTTGGGGACCTGGAGCCAGAAAATGGGGTCCTGGAAGTGGAAATCACGGAGAGAACATATTTACCGGTAATGGCAAAATCTCTCAGTATCAACATGGGAGTGAATGACTGAAATAGAATGGAAGATAGATTCACTAAGAAGGGGAGTTCAAGGAACTGAGAGGCCAGGATATTAGAAGAAAAGCCATCAAGGATTATGACAGGAGTGCTGCTAGAGAAGATGTTGTTAGTGAGGAATGAGGGGACGTGAACTAGGCAGCACGAGGCCAACGCAACAGGAGAGTTAGTGGCTGGTATCTGATGACATGAGAGTCAAAGCTGGAGGTTTTGAGGAGGAGGAAAGGTAGAATGCTCTAGAAGCAGCCATGGGACCAAGGAACAAACTCTCCTATCTGTAGCTCAAATGTAGGAGAGGGGTGGGAGAATTCACAGCCACCATTTGAGAGAGCTGCATAGGAACCAGTGCTTCAGAAGCAATTTATTGACAAACATAAATTAATATAATACAAATTAAGTTGGGGAATTCCCAGGAAATCACAAAATAAACGATATTTGTTTAACATGGTTAACGAAGAAATTCTAGTTCCTAGGCTTAGTGGTTCTGAAGGAAGTGGAGTGCCACTGATTATAGGAGGTTGCCGTTTAATAGACGACTGTCCAGTGTCTAAGGTAAGACTGAAGTCTTCTCTGTGGCAGGTGGCAAGTACATTAGCTTGATTGGAGAAAAGCAGATGCTAGAAATATTTTTTTAAATGGGTTTTTTGAATGAGAGAAACATTGGGTGTAGAATTTGGAATTTGAGGAAGCCATTATAGATTTGATCATGGTAACGCTAAAATGGGTTATTCTAGACCCATTCTTGGAGATCTAGATGATCGCTACAGAAATTTCTTTGGCAACATGAATTTAGTTCAGTTTTTGTCTTTTTGTTAGTTCTGCATTTCTAAATGTGACATTTTATTATTGAGTGGCTGAATTCTTTTTATCACTATTGATATAATTTGGGGAAGGGGAATAGTTTTTTAAAAATTCTTCACCACAAATATCTTTCATTTTAAATCTAGATTTTACTTTGCTTGCAATGGACATGCCCAGCACAGCTCCATCAGATCTTCAGCCTCAGCCAGTTATATCAGTGATGCAACTTTTTGGTTGGGATGATATCATCTGGCCCCAAGTTGTAGCAAGATATTTAAGTCATTGCCTACAAAATAGGTAAGTGACCTGATATCAGGTATGCACGTTAATAGAAACTCATGATTGATCAGTACACTAGGAAAGTAAGAATCTTCACAAATAAAAACTGATCTTACTACATACACTCTCACTTGGGTGGTTTTTTGCTTTTGGACAGATCAGCGTTTGACAGTGGCAGTAGCCTGCTTAAAAAACAAAACAAAACAAAAAACTTGCTGCTTAAGCACCCTTTCAAAACTTTTTTGTAGGACTGCCTTATTCCATCCTGAAATGGCCTTTCTATACTCACCTTTGTGAAAGAAATTATGCAATTAATATTGCTGGTTCTGTAAGATACTAGTATATTATGGTATTTTTAGATTCAATGATAGCTTTCCCTTTCACAGTTAGATTTTTAAAGACTTGTCTCTTAACTTGTACAATTATGAACAAGACACTTCATCGCCCTGAACATTGGTTTGCTTATCTGTGTCTCCTGCTCTGTTACATAACAGATCTGAGGAACCCCAATAGAAAAAAACACACAATAAATAAAATTAAAATAGAAATAGTGTAATCAGGAAAATTTGAATAAGAATATCAAGATGACGGAAAATAAAATGAATACTCAAGAGACCCCTGCAGCTCCTGTCCAAGCTGCCAGTCAGTGAGAAGGGGGATGCAGTCGGTGAGGTGTTCTCCTCATAGACAAGCTCACCAAGCAGATATTAAGTCACCTTCTCATTGGCTTTCAGTCAAAAAGTAAGGGAGTTCAACTTCGTTTGGATTATTTTTAGAATCTCGTCTAGCTTGAGAATTCTGTAGTAACAAACATTATTAGTATTTATTAAATACTTTTGTTAAAACTACCTGCTGAAACTAATTCTTTTGTTTAGTTGCTGAAACTATTTTACTGAAACTAACTTATTTAGTTTAAAAAATAATATTTGGGGGCACCTGGGTGGCTCAGTTGGTTAAGCGACTGCCTTCGGCTCAGGTCA